CTTATTTTCTCGCACTGATTTTCACTTTAAAGTGTATATGGATTGGATTGGTAAGAGCCTTCCATTGGATATTTAGTCTAGGTTCAGCAAAGTCATCGTCCCAAAAAATGAGATCAGCTGCTTACCTGAATATACTGAATGAAAGGGTTTTCCCATCAATGGCTTTTTTTCTTCCCCGATGGCAAGGGCATATTTTGAGATGACAATGCCAGGATTCATCAGGTTCAAATTGTGAAAGAGTGGTTCAGGGCGCATGAGAGCATCATTTTCACACATGGATTGGCCACCACAGAGTCCAGACCTTAACCCCATTCTTTGGGATGTGCTGGGGAAGACTTTATGTAGTGGTCTGACTCTCCCATCATCACTACAAGATCTTGGTGAAAATGTACTGCAGCTCTGGATGGAAATAAATGTTGCGACATTGCAAAAGCTTATCAAAATGATGCCATGGCGCGTCGTAATCAAAGCTAAAGGCAGTCCAACGAAATATTAGAGTATGAGACTTTTTTTTTTTTTTGGACAAGCAGTATATAATCTGTAATTCCCATGTCAGTTAATACATAGTTTGTAATTATACATATGTAAATGGAGCCTACATGTTAATTACATATACAGTCTCTGCTTCCTGGTTGTGCCTTAGCAATCCTTTTACCATACTGAGTCTTATCAGATGGAATGTCTGATTTGAAAACAATGGTCAAATAATGGAGCCCAGAAACTGGATTATTTTTTGTTGAGCTTCAGATATACTTGTTTTTTTTTTTTTTTTTTAAACTGTTAAACCCTCACAGGATAACTCCTGTAAGGAGGGGTAGATATAATTATCAAAAAACCCTTTGATATTTGTCTATGTATCCCCTAGCCTTCAAACCCAAATCATTAATTCATGTAATAATGCATGTTTGATGTAGACGTATTTTACATGCATTTTACAAGCATTGTAAGAAATACCTTATTGAGATAACTGGAATGGAAACATTTAGATCAGTGGACCAAAAATGTATTCATGACTGTTTTATATTTTACATTTGGCTAGACAACTGGATTATTCTAATCATGTACAAAGTATATGCTGATGTTTTACCCCCTTTTTCACAACTTTTAAAGACCAAATATATTTTCTTTCCAGCTGATTTTGGAGTATCGGCTCAGATTACAGCCACCATAGCTAAACGGAAATCTTTTATTGGAACACCTTACTGGTAAGGATTTTCTTTTTCTTCCTTTTTTAAGAAGTTATCTTTAGTGGCTAAGTCTACCCAAAAAAATATTATTTAGCTTTGGGTTGGTTAATTCCCCACTGTCTTGTATTACTCAAGGGTTCTGGTGATGAGATGCCTGCACAAATTTACCAAATCTCTCCATCAGCCATGGCTGTTAGAAAACGGTTTTTTCATTTCCTTGTATTTCTTGTTTTCTTTTGTCCATGGTAGTGCAACATAACAGCTGGAGTTTCCCACTTTGGTCTATCCCTACTAAATTACCAGTTTTCAGGCAGGCTGTTAAAATAGAGTATCCTTTGTTTAACTATGTTTTTATTTGATTTTGATTTTTTTTAACAATTTGATAATGAAGTTCATCCTTTGCTACCACTCTTAAGTTGTCTTATCAAAATAATGCACATACTCTTCCCCAATGATTTGCAAAACTAGCAAACACAATGCAAAATATTTTGAGTGAATACTATCCAGTTAATAAATAGATGCCACAAACTCTGTTAATGAAGGAGGAGCTGATGAATGACAGGATATTCCCTGCCCATTTACAGAGAGTGTCACATTATGGAGCAATAATAGTACAAGCTCTATGAATGGAGAAGGCAGGAAGGGGCCCAAAAAAGTAATCAGTGAAGACAGGTGCATGTAGTACACCCTGTCCTTCTATACCACTGCCACTCTCCTTCTTACACTTGCCAGCCATGCTCAAATGTCAAAATGACAGTAGGGAGATGCTGTGTAAATACAGCAGCTGTAATAGCTGCTTCTATCAAAAAGCGGACCTGACAGTGTTTACAAAACCATGTTTAGGCATAAGATACCGACATTCAAGTAAATGTTACTTTTGTATCTACTCTGTTTCTTTCTTCTGCAGATCAAAGGGATGAGCTTCAATCTGCATATGATGTCAGTTAAAGCAATCTGTCAATTCAAAAGAAAAACGGGAAAAAAACCCCACTTAACTTTGCAATACTTTGTAGCAAAATCATAATTTCTTTATCATCCATTGAGATACAGAGATCTTTAGTAATTTTTAGACAATCGGGTAAAATTGCCACCTACAGGAGGTTGTTACACTGGTAAACAAACAAAAAGGCCAGCCCCTGTATAACCCCACCTCCAACAGTCATGCTTTATTTTGTTCGATAGTGTGCTTGGAAGTTTGAAACTTTTTCTTCAGCACTGCTGAAATAAAGTCACTAACTATTTTATTTTTTTTCTTCAATCAATTAAGATATGTCAAAAGATTTTTTTTTTTGGTGACTTTAATCAACAATTCAAAAACACTGTTTAAACTAGTCTCTACATCGCAGCTCTCCGGCTCGATATATTCTCGGCAATAGGTTTGGATGCCATACCTGGTTCCTTCTGGACCAGAAATTGCGAGGCTTGCCTGGATGATGACCTTCAGGGCTGAGCTCTGCATTGTGGTGCTTTGCAGATCTCTGTGCATTGTTTTAATTACCTGCAGAGCATTCTACAGGTGCAGAGCCATGGTGTGACCCAGTCTCTTAGGACTCATGTACTAAGGCTGCTCAGCCTGAAGCACTAGTAGCTACCTCACAGTTGGTACCATTGGGCACTATTTTTAAATTCCTGTCACGTCCATCTTATGGCATTAACATTTAATACTGAGGGAACTGAGCGTTGATGTCAGCCTCTAGAGCTCTTCTTCCGGCATTGTTGCTGGGTGGGGTTTGGTATCCCCCAAAAGGCCTGTAACCTAGACACTTAGACCCCAAATACTACAGATTTTTTTAAGACTCTTAGTAAGCTCCACAGCATAAGGTTGCAACAGAGATTGAGACCACCTATGTCTTCACTAGACCCCTAATATCCAATTTGGATTTTTTGTCGGTTTGTGCACAATTAATGCAGCAATCTGCAATTTACTTATTTTTATATATATATATATATATTTTTTTGCATTGTTGAATTCGCAGGACATTGTACGCTATGTGGTAAGATATAAGGCTGGTCCCCTTTAACTGTGTTACCATGTAATGACATGCACTTGACCTTGATGATATAAAGCACAGCCTACCCTGGTTGGCTTTAATCTCTACAATTTTTTTTTTTGAAAAGTACTTTTTATTAAGTTTTCAATATGCATATAAAGTTACAAACATCACCCACCGAAGTGGGGGCACATACTTAAAAACACCATCGTTATACAAAACATTGGTAGGTGCGGCCTGTTCGGTGAGGCCCAGCAGACACATAGGGATAGTACACGAGATGGCGAGTGCCAACACCTGCGACATGAAATCCGTGACTGATTTCCAGTACCCTACAATCCCCGGACAGTCCCAGAAAATGTGTCTGAAGTCAGCTGGCTGTGCCGAGCAGCGCCAGCAGGAGAAGGAGGTATCCCTGTATATTTTTGACAGTCGTGCAGGCATGTAGTACACTCTATGCAGGATTTTAAATTGTATGAGGCGGTCACGAACGGATACCAAGTGAGAAAAGGGGTAATCCCCCACCTCCTCCCAGGCATCATCCGAGAGATCCGGTACATCCTCTACCCACTTCAGTCTGCAAGGAAGTTTATGGACACCCACTGTAGCTGACAGGGCCTGGTAGACCAGCGATAAGGGCTTTTTTATACCCTCTCGCCGAAGGAGTGATTCCAAAGGCGAGACGGTAAGGGCGCAGTGAGATCCCCCCATTTGTGTCTGGTAAGCATGCCGTAGCTGAAAGTATCTAAACAGGTAGTTGTTCGGAAGATTAAATTTCCCCTGCAGTTCTGCGAAAGATGCCAGCGAACCGGTCAATGTTATATCCCCAACGGTCTTTATTCCCCTCTCCGGCCAAATGTGGAAGTCTGGGATAGCCATAAAGTGTCGCAGTTTCGGGTTATTCCATAAAGGGGTATGTGGCGATATATCAGTATTTTCAGGATACAGTGTTTTGTGCACTTCATCCCAAGCCTTGAGAGTTGCTGTCATGGACACTGTCATAGGGTATGGCGCCCCCACCCCCCTATAAACCAGTCCGCTCAAGGCTGCGTATGACCCAACTGATGCTGCCTCCGTCACTACCGCCGCATCACTATCTTTTGCGGTTAGCCAACGATGAACCACCACCATCTGCTTAGCTAGATAGTATTTTTTAAGGTTGGGTAGTGCCAAACCCCCCTGGGCCCAGGGCTCCCGGAGAAGACTGAGCTTAACCCGCGGGGTCTTGTTATTCCACACAAATGAGGAGAACAGTTGATAAATTTTTTTAAAAAAAGGCATTGGTTATACGCATAGGAGAGTTTCGCAGGAAGTATAGCAGGACCGGGAGTATCTTCATTTTGATGAGATTAGTGCGTCCAATTAGAGTCAATGGCAAATGCATCCACGCATCCAACCTCCGCTTAGTGGTAAGGAGTAATGGAAGGACATTCAGGGTATAATAGTCTCTGACATGGGCAGTAATGGTGACCCCCAGGTAGGTAAGCCTGTCAACCCACTGTAGAGGGAGGGTCTGGTCCGCCTGTAAACTTGTCCGGGGGCCTAATGGCAGAATATGGGATTTTGACCAGTTCACCCGCAGTCCCGAGAACACAGCAAAATTTTCAAGTATTTCCAACACCCCGCGTAAGGAGGATCCAGCATCCGAGAGGAACAGGACGAGGTCATCAGCATATAATGCTAGACGTTCCTCAATCCCTCCCACCCGGACGCCCCTAATGTCCGGAGATGAGCGAAGGGCCACCGCCAGGGGCTCCATCACCAGGGCAAAAAGGCCTGGTGACAAGGGGCATCCCTGACGCGTGCCCCGCTCCACTTCAAAAGGTGCGGAGAGTGCATGACCAATCTTCAGAGACGCCCTGGGTCTGTTATATAGTACCGCAATCCATTTCTGGAACTTTGGGCCAAAGTTCATAAAGTGCAACACCCGGGTCATGAATCCCCAATCCACCGAGTCGAATGCCTTGGCAATGTCCAGGGACACCAGCGCCCCGGTGCCCCCACCATCCTGCGACAGATGTATGTGGGTAAACACACGACGCAGATTGGTGTCCGTGGACTTGCCCGGCATGAAACCCGTCTGATCAATGTTCACCAAGGAACCAATCACCCTAGACAAGCGGGTGGCCAGAACCTTAGTAAGGATTTTTAGATCCATATTGAGAAGGGCTATGGGTCGGTAGGAGGAACACAGAAGGGGGTCCTTGCCGGGCTTGGGGAGGATAACAACATGGGCATCACGGAAGGAGTCTGGAAGTTCGCCTGATATTAACGCAGAAGCGTACAGATCCCGAAGCCTGGGAGCCAGCCCCTCTGCATTCATTTTATACCACTCCCCAGGCATACCATCCGGGCCTGGGGATTTGTCATTCGGAAAAGAGGCGATGGCAGCAAGTATCTCAGGAAACGAGACCTCCGCCTCCAAGAGCTTACTATCTGCCTCCTCCAGTCTCGGCAAGGACAACCCCCCCAGAAGCCCATCCAGGCGAGCCGAATCATAGCCCGGAATCCTGGAGTAAAGGTTCTGATAATAGGGGTAGAATTCCTGTAGGATGGCCTGCGGTTCGGTGACTCTATCCTCCCTGTCAGTCAAAATACATGGAACTGTCGTAAGATTCCTCTGATCCGCAACCAACAAGGCCAGGAATTTTCAATTTTTGTCCCCCCGTTCAAACAGCGACTCACGCAGTTCCCTTAGTTCCGTTGAGTCATCTCAACGTGGTGGAGGTTAAGCGCCCGTCGTGCCACCCTGAGCGCCTCCAAGGATGTCTCCCCAGGGGAAGTTGCGAAGGCCGCAGCAGATTCCGATTTCAGTCTTCTGAAGGTCATCTAGAACTGCATTATATTCTACCAGAGAAGCTTTGATAGCGGACACAAATTCCCCACGTATATTTGCCTTAAATGCATCCCAGACAACATTGGTAGGGGCAGTACCCTCATTTAATTCCCAGTACCGCTCCATAGCAGGGAGCACTCTGCTGGATACCATCTCCACGCTCAGCCAACTCGGTGACACCTCCAACACCCGGGACTCCTATGGCCCGGTAGCGACAGGGAAACTGAGCGGGACATGGTCCGACAGACCACCCGGTCAAAGAAATGGACCATGCCCGAGTGCTGGATCCGCAACCTACTCGGATAATACATGCCATATTTAATTCCTTTCTCCTGGAGTCTGCGCCGAATCTCAACAAAAGATCTCCTTTTCTTCTGTATCTCCGCGGAGAAATCAGTAAAAAAGCGAAGTTGCGCGTTTCCACATCTCACATCAGGGCCTCTGCGATTAGTGGCCATGACTTTATCCCTGTCCCTGTAGTTCAGTAGGCGAGCCAGAAATGGACGCGGAGGGGCCCCTGGCGGTGCCCTACCCGTGGGAACTCGGTGGGCACGTTCAACCACGAAAGTAGGGGGCAGCTCATCCAGCCCCAGGACCCTCTTAAATAATTACTCAGCAAACTTCACCGGATCCTCACCCTCCGGCATCCCAACAATGCGCACATTGTTTCTCCTCATGCGGTTTTCTGCATCATTGACTTTGGCAGCCAGGAGATGGACAGTGCGCTGCAGTTCTGTAAGCGTAGCAGTATGTCCATGCACCGTGTCTTCCACCTCTGACACCCTGGTTTCTGCGGTTGTGATGCGGGTAAGGATCTTATCCAGATCATGGCGGATCAGAGTGCACTCTGCCACCAGATGATCAATTTTAGCTGTGAGGGTGACTTGGCATCCCTCGATCGCCGCCAGTATGGCTGATGTCCCTAGTTGGCTGGGACTGGTGTATTTGGGTCCCTGGGCATAAAAGTCTGCGGCGAGGCAGCACTCACCCCCTCTGCGGCACCTTCCTCCATGTCCAGCCGCTGTACAGGAGACGCAGGGACGGAAGCCGGCGAGGCCAAGATGGCGCCGGCTGATCCCACGCCTGGGCCCTTTGCCTTACGAGCGGATCTCCGAAGAGCTGCGGCCCGCCGACGAGACTTAGGGGACATAAGTCTGGTCCCGGGTAAGTCCTGCACAGGATGGGGACAAGTCGGGCACCGAAATTTCGTCAGGCAAGAGAAATTACAGGATATTAGCGCTGGAAGCGGCGGAGCTCCACCAAGGCACGTGTGGTCAGCTTCACATCGTAGCCACGCCCCCTTTAATCTCTACAATTAAGCCCATAATTGGGTGAACCTTGGATGGGACACCAGTAGGTATGCACCGATACCGACACAAGTATCGATGCCGAGTATTTGGGTGAGTACAAGTATGGATACCGATACTTGCTCCGATGCCTAGCCCAATACTTCCGGTATCAGGAAGCTGGCTCCATGCTCTCTCGTCATTTGTGACAAGAGAGCATGAAGCCGGCTTCCCGGCCAATCGGGAAGCTCGGCAGCTTATAATGACGCATCGTCCGGCATTCTCCGGCTTCATGCTCCCTCTTCCCCCCCGGCTTCCTGATTGGCCAGAAAGCTAGCTCCATGCTTTCTCGTCAGTGACGAGAAGCATGGGGAAGGTCTTCCCTGGTAATTGTGAATTAAGTTTATTAACATTTGAATGCCGAAACCAGGCTTTTATTCCTTTTAACCCTTTGTTAGGACAGGCAGTGTTCAATATACTTTACAAATCATAATGAAATGAGCCAGCACAGTATAGACACAGGGCCGGATTTCCCGCAAGGCAACGTAGGCATCTGTTTACTCTGACGGCATATCCAGTCAGGGTACAGGCGTTGCCGTCACGCTACCCTTCTATTTTTCCTAGCTTAAGGGTTTCTTATACCCCTCTCCATTTGAATTTTCTGCTGAGAAGACTCTCACATCCTTGTATGTATGTCTCTTTGTGAGATTTTTTGTTACTTCCTTCTGTTTATAGACCTCCCTCTCCCTAAAGGGCTTCTACTTAAGCCTTCGGCTCTTGACTAGTTGGTCTTTTTTTCCTGTGCATAACCAATCTGAGCATGTTTTCTTCCTGGAAGTCTAGGATTAGATATGCTAGGCTTAAAAGGAAACTATGGGGTAAACTTTGTATCTCATAGTTCTCTTTTAGGGATCACGGAAGGACATAATCTAACGTCCTACCGTGACCCCAAAGCTCAGTATATAGTGGGCTATTGCCCGCTATATGCTGAGAGCGCCGCAGCCAGGACTGATCCCAACAATAATGTTGAGATCCACCCAGCTGGCTGATTGACAGCTGGCTCTTCCTATCTAGAGGCTGAGGGGGGCTTCGGGGTAATATTAGGGGTCTAAACAGCCCCCTGATATTTACCTTTTAAAATAGAAAAATAAATTGAGGACACAAAGTCCTCAATCCCTTTTTCTGCAGCCTCTGTTCTAAATGAATGGAAAGCACAGAGGCTTCCCATTCATTCAGAAAATATTTTACTATCAAGCAGTTTCTGAATGGGGAGGAGCCTCTGTACAGAGTGCTTCTCCCCATTGAGAAACTCATGAATGAACAGGAAGTGATGTAAATCACATCCTGTTCATTCATAACTGGGGACACATAGTACTATGTGTCCCTAGTTATTTACAAACACTGGGGTGATCAGCTGATCGCTCCAGTGTTTGTCCTGCACAGAGGATTGGTACATATCATGCTACACGACCACTGGTAGATCGCGATCGACCTTATGGGCACCCCTGATATAGAGCATGTTTTAGAGTGCAGTGTTAATTTTTTATTTTTTTTTGCCAGTGTCCAAACCTCCTGCAGGTGGCAGTATAAGCCAAGTACGTAAGAATTACTTAGGTCCTGTGTGCTCAATGGAGTTCTAAAAAATTATTTTGTAGTAAGTACATCAATTTTATTTTAGGACAATTGTAAATGGGACAAATGATAGACTAAAATCTATTATTTTCATTTAGAGTAACACACTTTTTTTTTTTAAACTAACACTGATTAAAACACCAGAGACTGACTTTTCTACTTCAAACACTAACTACTTCAACAACCAAATGTATTAAATAACCACACTCTACTTTATAGTGAACATTAAAAACTATAATCAAACAAACTATTCTTAAACTTCCAAAGACCAAAGGAGGTTTATGATTTCCAGATAAAATCATATTATAAAGTAGGTCCCATAACGAGAGTCCTAGAATGGTGTTCCCAATATACTTGTAACAACGGATTCAACCTTTTTTCGTTACATGGACTAACCTGGCTGCAATCCACTGGCAGCCCTTAGGAACCCTTCACTGATAGGCCCTACCTGTGTCTGTAATATCTTTCTTTGATACCCTTTCCACACTTGGGTTCACCAGCCTTCAACCTGGGCAGTGCCATTACACTATTTGATCTATGCAGGGGCTTTTAGGACCCTACATTTTACAAGAAACAATTGCTTTAAATCACAGAATGACCTAAGGTCCAGCTTTGGCTCAGATCTTGACAATAGGTGCCTCCTTCAACTTACCCACTACATTCACTGAATTCCAAAACTGGAATCAGACCACTAATGACATATGAAAAGGTATGTCTTGAAGCTATGCCAATCAGACACTCTATCAGTAGCCCATGAGGTCCCAACAGGCCCAGAGGCAGATTCCCCACCATTGTACATCAAGAAATAGGAAAAGGGTCTCTCTCCCAACAGAGACTGCATTGTCTTGTTTGCTCATAAACACCCCATATCCAATAAGATCAAAGAATCAGGGTTCAACTACTTTCAGATGGTAAAAGACCCTTGACGTGTCAAATATACCTTCAATGCTCGCCACTCTGCTGGTGGTGCAACTCACATAGGGGCACACTACTCTACTACTCTACTCTACATTTTCTGGAAATGTCCTATCTTACAAGATTTTTGAAAGTTAGTATAACTCACATGATACCAACTCACAGATATATATCTGGTCGAGAAACCAATGGCGTATGTACTTCTTGTGAATCCCCTCTTGATTTAAAGTAGTAGTATAAGAAAACTATAAAAATGGTGTTTTGAATTTTCAAATTTGAGTAAAGTATATATTTTTTGTCTGATATTTTCAGGATGGCTCCTGAAGTTGCTGCTGTGGAAAGAAAAGGGGGTTATAACCAGTTATGTGATATTTGGGCTGTTGGTATTACATCCATAGAGCTTGCAGAACTTCAACCTCCAATGTTTGATTTGCATCCAATGAGGTATTTTTTAAATTTTGTTGACAGTTCAGTTATTTTTGCTTTATTAAAAAAAAACAGATCACGACAATTGAGTTCCATATTTTATATACCATCACTGAGTACTAGGCAAAATTGTGGTGCATTTGCTTGATTTTTATAGCTTGTAATACAAAGAAATGCTTTTGTGAAATGTAATTAATGTTCTGTTTTATCTCTTAATTAAAACATACTGGTAAATTAACAGGCTTTATAGACTTGCCTGCTCATACAGAGTATGTGCATGCAGGTACTTTAACAGTGGTGGTAATATTAGCTTGTAAGCTCCACCAGAACAATGATTAAGGAAAATCTGGTTTCATTTCTGCTTCCTAATAGTAATACCTTTCTTCTAGGGCCTTATTTTTAATGACAAAAAGTAACTTTCAACCACCAAAGTTAAAAGACAAGATGAAATGGTAAGTCACTAATGTTCTCACATAATGTCTTTTTTTTTTTTTTTGCTCACATATTTTTATTTTTCATTTGTAGAACTTTTCATATTGTTTTCTTCATTTTTTCTTTTTTAATTTAAGGTCAAATAGTTTCCATCATTTTGTCAAAATGGCACTCACAAAAAATCCAAAGAAAAGGCCAACTGCTGAAAAACTATTACAGGTAATGTAATACCTTGCATTCTGTGGTTATATATTTTTGCATTATCTTTTGAGAAAGCAAATATATTGTATTATAAGGTTAATATATGATTCACCTAATTCACCTAAACTATATTCTAAACTGTATTTGTGAAAAGATTGCACAGGCACTGGGGCAGGGAGGTAATGTTTTGATCATCCACAAATAGCCAGTGTGGTAAGTTGAGCTACACTTACAGTACACCTATTTATTTTATATAAGGTGTAAGGAATTTTGTCACGCAAAGCTCTGTAGTTACTGGGACAGATAACAAAAATCTGACCCAAGGAAGGCTGTTTTAGTGACCAAGCCCAGTACGCATGACAGTTAAAGGCTATGTTTACCTTGTCTACCATGTTACACCCATATTCAGGGTGTAACATGAAACGTGATGACATTGCCACTCACCCTCTCACCTAAATAGTTGGATCCTTCTTTTTAACACTTATATGGCTGTGCATGGCTCCACCCACATAGCCACACCATCCATTCACAGATCCTTTGATGACACAAAACTTGTAGTCCACTGACACTTCCTCCCATTCCTGTTACTGAATATCCATACCTCAATTGAGGGACAGCTGGAGGAGTCTGCAAGAGCCAGAGCATTGCACCCATGATCCACTGACCGCAGTTTCATTGCTTTACTACTTCCAATGCAAAACAATAACAAATCACTTTTTTTTCTTGTATGAGTATGTCTGCATTTATTATTTTTCTTAAAAATATGGACTTATCTTTACGTTTTTCATTTTCTTAGGATTAGGTTAAATGAACAAATACGGCTTCCTACACTTGCATTTATGCTGAGAACATTATAACCTTTTGTTTAGTTCCACTAGGTGCCCACTCCCTACCATATTTATAGTTATTCTTGATGAAATAGAGCAAAATATTATTTAACTTTTTGTGTGGTTTAGTAGACAGTCAAAATGTGAATTTCCTTGTAGATAGTGTCTATGACCATGATCAATCTCTTTTTATATTGAAGTGTTGTTGTAGCAAAGTGCTGTTTGTAATATTTGCAGAACAAAAGGTTAGGATTCTGCAATTTAAGTGTTGGAATTTCAATCTTTCTGTAAATGTCTAGTATGTCTCCACCGTGGCTTCCTGTTAGTCCTTTAAAGTCTATTTCCACCTTTGCGCATGTATTAAAAAAAACATATGCCAGTAATGTACACCCACGTATACATGAAGCAGGCATATGCAGTTGCTTTGTATGAACACAGAAACTTACTTTTCTCTTTCTTCCATTGAAGGACACAGTGTAAACATCATAGATCTTGAGCAACAGGGTATTGCATCACCTACAAGAGAAGGATGCTAGGCACAAAACAAAATAACATCCTAGGGCCGACCTCTGCTGGTGGCCAACCCCCCACCTGCTGACCAGCCTCAGTTTTTTTGCCTAGCATCAGGAGTAAGGAGCTACGAATCTTTGCTGGGATTCATTTTCCTTTTTTTCTACATTTGACTTTTCAAACATTGAGCACATGCAGGCTCTCGCCACGGCAGGGTCAGCTGCAATTACTCTGGATCCCTAGGGTGGTCTGTGCAAACCTTTACAGAGTGAGCCAAGTTTTTGCGCCTGGGCAACTAATAGGTTCCATCTGCCTATGTTGAATTGGCGGAGCATTTGGTGCAGGGTTTAAATATGTTTGCAACGTTGATCTGGATGCTGGGCCGTTGGTTTCTAAAGCTGTCTAATTCGGCAGTTTTCGTTCGCAGACTGTTATGGCTTCAGCGCTGGTTCGCTGATTAGACCTCTAAAAAGGCTCTCTTGAATTACCGCTTTACAGGGGATCGCCTATTTCGGACTACACTGGATGAGATTGTCAAGAATCTTTCTGCCAGTAGATCCAGGGATCTAGGCCATCCTTTTCAGCCCACAAACATTGTTTTGGCCCTCCATATCTGTGGACTAGGGCGGCAAAGCTTCCAAGCCCCCTACCATTTAGAATTCAAAGTGTCCCTGGCAGTCCAAGTCATCTACACCTGCTGGAAAGCCCTCTTCCACATGAGGGTCGGCCCCCACTCCTGTGTCTAAGAGTGAGGGGTTGTCTGCAGGAGTTACGGACCATTGGATGTCCCACAGTTCGGACAACTGGGCGTGCAACTTGTGTCTTCCAGCTACAATAGCTTTGAGTTTTTATCCTGGCCAAAGGACAGATTTTTCCTTCAAACACATGGGTCTGCGCCAAGCTGTCGCAGATCTGTTGTCCCAGGCAGTGGTTGTCCTGGTGCCTCCCTCTGAGAGAATCACAGGTTTTTATTTGAATCACTGTTCGACCTATTTGAATTGTAAACACCAAAACACCTTTGTGAGGGTCTCTTCACCAGGGGGATCTTTTCACCTCCATCTACATCAAGGACGTGTATCTCTATGTGTCTCAATTGCTGCTCGCATCAGCGCTTTCTCCGCTTCATGGAGGTATAGGACATTGTTTACTTTCGGTATGACATTGCCATCAAGGCTGTTTACCGAGGTTCTGGCACTTGTCCTGTCTTGTTGCTGTGCAGGGGATTTCAATATGGGGATATCTAGACGATCTTCTGTTGCGAGCCAAGTCACCCTCGGATTTACTGCAAAAAGTATCTGGGTCTTGTCCTTGACAACACCTTGGCCAGAGCGTTACTTCCGTTGCAAAGCATTGGTAACTCCACTCTCCAGCCGGTCTTCTACACTCGTACTGGGAAAAGATCCACATTGGTATGCAGTTGCTGGCCTGATGATGGCCTCCTTCATGGCAGTTCCTTGCACAGAATCATACCAGGATCCTGCAGAAGGATACCTTGTTGTAATGGGGCATGTTCCCCTTGTCATTGGACAAGGAGGTCTGTGTGAGGCAAGCGACGAGTGCTTCCCTGATTTGGTGGCTTCGTTCTTTGGTACTTCTGTCCGGTGAAATCCTTCCTGCTACGACACTGGACAGTCGTGACTAAGGCCGTAAGCCTCCTGGGGTACGGTACGGTTTAGGGATGGTGGAGGCCAAGAGGAGTCCTGTCTTGTGACTCATGAGTTCGAACATCGAGCAATCCGGTTTTCCCTTTGGCATTGGACTTGCCGTCTTAAGGATCTGCCAGTTCGAGTCCTGTCAGTCAGTACCTCGGCCTTGGCCTACGTCTATCATGGTGGAGAGACTAGAAGCGCGACTGTGGTGCAGGAGGTGTCAGAGCTCTTTGCTGGCAGAGATGCATGTTCTGGTTTTCTCCTCCTGTGTACATTCCGGGAGTTGTAGAATGGCAGGCTGATTACCTCAGTCGCCAGGCTCTGGACCTGGGGGAGTGGTCTCTGCACCCGGGGGTATATTTGCCGGATCTGCCTTCATTGGGGAATGCCAGGCGTGGATCTCTTGGCATCTCGCCTCAACAGGAAGATTGATTGGTTTGTTGCAAGGATCCGTGGGTGGATGCAATGGATGCTCTAGTGTCGCCTGGGGACTGCTATGCCCTGACCTGGGCCTTCCCAGCCGTGCAACTTCTACTGCATCTACTTTGCAGAATTGAGAGTGGGGGATTACCAGTCATCCTTGTGGCTCTGAACTGACCAAAGAGAGCCTGGTACGCAATCATGGTGCGTCTGGTAGTAGACGCACCATGGCATCTTCCGCTGTGGTCTTTTCTTCTGTCCCAGGGTCCCATCTACCCTTCTGTTTACAGGTGCTGGCTTTAATGGCCTGGCTGTTGACAGCAGGTGTTGAAGGACTGGGGTTTTTTGGTTAAGTTGATTGCCACATTGCTTAAGGCACGTAAGGCTACTTCAAGTAAGATCTGCCAATGCACTTGGAAAACCTATTTTGCGCGATGTGCACGTTATTGCTTTTTACCTGTTAAGGGTAACATTTTGGCCTTGGACTTTCTCTTTTAGCGGCCCTTGGCCGTGTTGTGCAAATCTTAATGTAGGTCATGAAAATGTACACACATATACATCATCAATGCACCTCTACATTACCACAATAAATACTAATAACTTAGAAATGGGCTTTATTGTTATGGACAGCTTTACAGATCAATAGGGAGGATTTAAAGTCAGAAGGAGGTAAGGCCAAGCTTGAGTTTCACAGAAAATATCAAGATTTGCATAAAGTTTCACTTGCCTATATCTCTACCTATATTTCCTAATCTTGTGACATACAGTTTTCAAGGGCCTATTCACACCAGTGTGCTGTGATAATGAGCATGTTTCCACAATGTACATTATGCGCATTGGTGCTCTCCAGTACTTTTCATTCATAATGGCATCCCAAACACCACAGCGTGCCTGCAATACAGTGCAGGACAACACACAACTACATTATGGTGCGCGGCCAAGAATGCTGCATGCACACTTTTTTTGTCCATTGTGGTGGTTCAGGCTGGTTATTTAAATGAATGAGCTTCTCCATTGCAGTGCACATTAATGTGCACATTTAGTACACCGCAGCAGACCAGGGTGGTTTGAATTGGTATGTGAAAAATGCTACTTATGCATTTTTCTATGTGCAATCAGTTGAGCCTGCCCTGGTTTGTGGTAAGTTTACTTAGGGTCATTAATTATATTGTTGGGCATAAAGTGTCAAGAATGTGGCATTCATTGTACAGTCACGACATTTAGAAAACGGTATTAGCAAGAACCTTTGCCTACACAATTCCTGAAAGCAGGTAGTATTCTCTGTCAATCACCGACATCCTTTTTTTTTTTTTTACATTTACAATCAAGAGAATGACCAAATGATCTCAGAAATAGAACCAATATGAGAATAACCTCTAAGTGCACTGTACAATAAATTATTATTCTCATATTGTAAGTCAATTAACTTGACAAACAAACACTTCCTTATTTCCTTACTATCTAAAACATGGATCAGGTCTTCTCTTGTGGGTGTAGAGCTGTAAGGCATATCATCTATTAGGTTATGTTATTTTTATGATATATAAGAAAAAGAAGAAACATGGGACTTTTACAGTGTCCAAAACCATACAACATGTCCATCAGTTGTCCATCAATTAGGGATGTGGTGTCTATCCCTACTGGTTCATTTTTTTAAACTGATTATATGGTAGGTAAAGTAAGAGCAATGTGGGTGACTGGGGTGAGAAGAGTGGAAATAACAGGGGGAGACTATGGGTGGAATAAGCATGTTACAAGGAAGAAGAGATATAGAGGGAGAAAAATGTGGACAGGGGGTGCACAAAGGTTTCATTCAGTTATAAAGCTACAGGGGGAAACTAATTATAGGAGGGACCCAATGATGTAGCACTTTTACATCTAGGTCTCATATTGGCCTTATAAGGGGTAGTGGTTCCCATCCAGAGTTATTTTCCCTTTGGTTCTTAAGAGAAATTGTTCATTTATTTAAATTTGTTTTTAGTCAGATTTTACAATGCAAAAGACAATACACATTCAATACATTAACAAAATGCCACATGACTCAGGGGCAAGGCATATAAACAGTTAACAGTTTGAGCTACACAAAATAACGGAAGAACATAGAATATATTGTACATTGTAAGCAAAAGAGGCATCAGAACGTAATATGTATTACCCAAGGAACACTCCATTATCCCAACCCAGGCACTCTAAGAAAGATTCAGCATCACATATAGCAATAAGCACTTAACCAATGGACTTATAAAATTTAGCAGGACAGGCTCTACAAATATTGGCCACTTTATACATAAAGATGGAAGATTCTACCTGGACCCTCCAATTCTCCAAGGTCGGTGGTGCCTACTTCTTCCAATTTAGTACATTCAGCTTCCTGGCATAAAACAACAGGACCCCCAACAATCTTGTGGAGGCAGCCCGCTCGGTTAAGTCCAGCAAGCAGATCCCCAACTCAAGCATGAGAAACTGAGATATAAAACGTGTAACCTCAGTCCAATATTGTCTAATGCCAGGACACTCCCAGAAAATATGTCGGAAGCCAGTCGGAGAACTAGAGCACCTCCAGCAAGCCGCCGAGCATGTCCCATACATTTGAGCCAATCTCGCAGGAGTATAATACACTCTATGCAGTGTTCTGTATTGGATTAATCGGTCTCTAGTAGAAATTAAATGAAAGTGTAGTCCCAGGCATCCGTCCAGCCCTCCTCATCCAAATACGAGACATCCCTCAGCCACTGAGCTTTACAACTACTTAAACAACTATGAGCATCCGGAAACAGTGCACCGTAACCAGAGGATAAAGGTTTACATAGCCCATGGCCCACCAACAAGCACACCAAGAAAAAAGCTCAGAAAACCCCGGGGGTTTTGCGCCTGGAAGGCATGACAGATCTCCAGATATTGAAAAAAGTAGGAACCTGGCAATCCAAACTTAGTCCAACTCCCTAAAACTCATAATAACCCCATCTTGCAAAATGTCTTCCAATTTCTTAACTCCCCTCAGGGCCCACAATTGGCAGTCTGGCAAGGCATAGAAATGAGCAAGAGTTGGGTTCCTCCACAGTGGAGTGTGAGGCGAGCAAACCTTCCGATCCCTGCATAACAAGGAAGACACCTGCTTCCATGCTTTTAAGGTAGCGATCATCGGCGTCGTAAGATCATAGGGAGCCTGCCCCTGTACACAAGGGACGACATCCCCTGTACACAAGGGACGACAGAGCCTCGAGCAATCCCAGACTCACTGCCTCCAACACCACTGCAGAATCACTATCATCCCCCACTAACCACCTATGCACCACCACCATCTGTCCAGCCAAGTAATACTTTCGCATATCCGGAAACGCCAAGCCTCCCCTCGTTCAAGGAGCTGGCAATGTGGCAATTTTCAGACAAGGAACCTGCAAGCCCCACAAAGTCCCGGAACAAGCCAGTCACCCCCTTAAAGAAGCTCACAGGCACCCAGACTGGAGAATTGTGAAGAAAGTTCAGGAACACAGAAAGAAAGAATTTTAATTTTCAACAAATTGACCCTCCTCATCAATGACACAGGTAAGTGTTTCCACACCAATACCTACCCCTAACCTGGGCAAGTAATGGAGTCAAGTTCAATGAGCAATAATCAGTGCCTGCGTGTTCCAGTCCAGTGCGATCTGCAAAAAATGTTGCGAACACTATTATTTGCAGATCGCACTGGACACGAACGCAGGCACTAATGTGTCACGCGTTCGGGTGTTGGCGATCGCACCGCGGGCAGGGGGCGTGCCCCGTCCCACCCCGCCCCCAAAAAAACTGAGCCGGCTGGGTTACGTTCCAGTGCATTCCGGAGCCCGACCGCACTGGAACGCACTCCTGATGGTGTAACAGGGCCCTGAGGGAGCATCCTGTCTTGGAAAGGCAACCACCCCTTTTATTTTTTGTGGACTTACTAGGTTCTCCCCCAATATAGAACATGGTCTGAAGTAGTAACAGGTCTAGCTTAGAAGATGCAGAGTCTGGTTTGCCGACGTGACCTGCCTATCGCTTTCCCTGAATTTTTTTCTTGTCAGTGATGCATTTGCTTCCAGCCCTTGTTTACACCTGAATGAAGTGTGATTTGTGCAGCGCTAAAAGTGAAAGATAAAGTAAAAATAAATAAATATCCCTATCTAAACATATATAATTATCACAATATAAGTACTTAAGTACTTATATTTACGGTAAGTACTTATATTGTGGTAATTATATATGTTTAGATAGGGATATTTATTTATTTTTACTTTATCTTTCACTTTTAGCGCTGCACAAATCACACTTAATTCATCTCTAACCCTAGGGTTTATAGCGCTACAGCTTTCATATCAGACTTACCCATAAGCGCGGATTTTACATTCTCTCCCCTTGTTTACACCTGCATCCTTTATAGGGTGCTCTCTCATTAGCAACAAAAGTGACATTTTTACAGTATGTATTTAGCATGAAGACTTTCGTTGCAGTAGTGTAGTGTGCGTGTTTGGAATCCATATTGGAATGCCAGTTCAATATAAAAAACATATTTCATATAATAAAACCTGTCAGTAATAACATTAGAATATTATAGTGTTTACCTGTTAGGTGGAAAGTGATTTAGAATTTTCTCTTCTCACACAACACTATTTTTTCTTGCATTTTATAGCATCCTTTCGTTACACTGCCATTAAATCGCGCACTTGCTATTGAATTGTTGGATAAAGTGAATAATCCAGACCATTCTAGTTACCATGATTTTGATGACGATGACCCAGAGGTAAGAATAGTTTTACACCACAGTATACAATGAATTGGCAAATATAATGTGCATGTTGCAAGGGATTATGCAATTCTATTAGAAAATAACTAAATTTAAATGCACTTTTTATTTCAGGTTTCGTTTTATTAATAGCATTGAAACATCTTTATGTTCTCAATATTGTAGATTTATGAAGTAGAATTGAATTCATCCATTTGCTTCACTCATTAATTTTAGTTTGTATATTCCATGGTATATTTTAGTGTTATATAAGGATTGCGAGCTCTATGACTGAAGATTTTTTTTTTTCAAAGCAGACCTTGTATCCAGTGTTTACCATATTGATACCTGCTTGTCAAAAGCATGTTGATAGGAAGTGAGAGCAGAGTGACAGAGATTAGCTTTTTAGTGCTGCTTCTCCTTTCAATCGCCAGTCACATAGTGGGGTTGGACACCTGTAAGTTAATGTGAAACTCCAGCAGAGTAGGATCATGTTCCCTCCCAGAGCTGTTGAAATCCTTGGACTGACATACAAATCATTCGGCAGGTAAAATCACATATACAGGGTATATAAAAAGTCTACACACCCCTGTAAAAATGCCACTGCACATGTGTACACACCCTCTTATAATTTGGGATGTGGCTGTCTTCAGAGATAACCAATCACATTCAAACTGATGTTAAATAGTAGTCAGTACATACACCTCCCATCAATTAAAGTGACTCTGATCACCCCCATATAAAGTTCAGCTGTTCTAGTAGGATTTTTCTGGCATACACTCAGTTGCCTCTTACAGCAAAAGCCATGTACATTTTGCAAAAACATACATCAGGTCTGTCATAAGCATATTCAAAAATGTGTTATGGTCCTAGGGGACCAAGATTGAACTTTTTGTCCATAATTCCAAAAAGTATGTTTGGCACCAAAACAACACCATACCCACAGTGAAGCATGGTGGTGGCAACATTATGCTTTGGAGCAGTTTTTCTTCAGTTGAAACTGAGGCTTTATTTAAGTTGGGGGACTTATGAACAGTTCCAAATATCAGTCAATTTTGGCACAGACGTTTCAGACCTTTGCTAAAAAGCTGACAATGAAGTGGAATTTCACCCTTCGGCATGACCCAAAGTATACCTCCAAATCAACAAAAGAATGGCTTGACCAGAAGAAGATCAAAGTTTTGGAATGGCCCAGTCAGAGCCCGGACCCGAAGCCTATGGAAAATCTGTGAGTTGACCTGAGGAGGGCTGTGTGCAGTAGATTCCCTTACATTCTGACAGATATAAGTATCTGTGAGCCTCAAATTTAACTTTAAGTTGAAATGTACACTTCAGCTAGATGAAACCCAGATGAAAACATTCCCTTTCTCTGTGGCTTGTAGAATAGGGCTGCAAGCAGGCTTTCTCAACCATATTAAAACTGAACTCTGAATCAAACAAGTATGGTCTAAATGCAAAATGCATTTTTTCTGGAATCTTGGTTGTCTTTGTGTAATTTTTTACAGATTACTGCTGTTACCCAGCATGAAATAACTCCTGCACTTTGACTTTGTGCTGAAGTTTTTATAATAAAGAGCAGTCTTTGCTGCTCTCTCCTTGTGCAGGATGACTGGTCTTGTATTCACCTACCTGTACTTTTCTGAAGGCATGCAGTAGTAGATGAATCTGTTATTTGGGTTCTACCTTTGAGGGGCGGGATATGTAAAACAGGCAGAATGACCTTGGCACTGCTGCTCTTTACAGTCAGTCATACAGACAATATCTAAAGTGCATGTAAGCTCGCTCTGCCATAAAAAAAGATTGTTTAAAAATACAATGTACAAAATTCCGGCATTTATTTAAAAGGCTAATCAAGATTTAACCCCCTTCATGACTGAACTTGTTTTTCGTTTGTTTAATGACTAACACACTTTTTAAATTTTTGCTGTGTGATTCTTCCATGGCAGTAATACACTGGCCAGATTATTATGACCACCTGACGTTTGTAGGCAAACTAGCTATAATTAGCTATAATTTCGCGCTGAAGTTGCTAGTGGGCCAGACCATTATAAATAGGGAAGCAGGTTGTTTACCACGACAGTAGAAGTGATTTTTTTTCTGGAGATATGGGTAAACAACGCGATTTAACAGCCTTTGAACGTGGGATGATTGTTGGCGCTCTGAGCCATGGAGCGAGTATCAGCAAAACAGCAGAATTAATTAAATGTTCAAGAGCAGCTGTTAAAAGTGTTTAAAGAGTGGACTGTCAGCCAAAAATCTGGGTCTGAACGTGCGAATTGTGGCTGTCAGCCACTAGTTAATGTTAGGGCAGAACAGAGAGTGGCAAGACTGGTACAAGACAACAGAAGGGCAACAGTGCAGTGTCAGATTCCTCGCATCACCTTTCAACATCTCGTGGAGTCACGAGGCGGCCCAACGAACTCATCTCGTGGAGTCATCTTGTGGCCCAACGAAGTACTGATGGGGTGGTCATAATAATCTGGCCACTCAGTGTATACTTTCTTACTAAGTGCACCCACAAATACATTGTATTTTAGAGGACCGATAGGGCTGTATATTTATATCGCATATGTATGCCTAACGCCACACTTAGTACAAATAAAATATTTTTAAAAAATAGGAAAAAAACTTAAAGAAAACTCTTTTTCCCCAGTTTGGATTATTATTTTTAGAAAAATAGCACAGCTAAAAAAAAAAAGCTTAGCAAACACCTCCCCTGTTTTGTACTTCTCAGCCTAAAACTAAAAGCTACCATTTATATATTTTTTTCCTCTAAACGCTAATAGTGGTTACCTGACATACAATGTCACTGTCACTAAGTGTCACAGAGGGTGTCATGAGAGGGTTAAATAAAAAGTTTTTAACTTTTAGGGTGAAAAACAAATCTGCAGCTTGGCTGCAGATTTTATAATAATGAAAGTATAAAAATATATTTAGGTATAGAACTTTTTTTTTTACACTTTCCGCTAATTGTTTACACTTTTCTTACACTTTTATTTGATTTATTTTTAATTATATCAAGCAGTCTTTGTGAATGAATCTCACTATTACTGCTTGATAATTTAATTAATTAATGTATGGTTATCATTTGGCTTCTCCAAACTTAGGAACAGCCAATAATAACCTTAGTGACACTGATGTGACTAAAGGCTTCTGATTGTTCCCAAAATGATCAGAAGCCTGCAACATGGTTTATGAATAGAAAAATTTAGCTAATCCCGATCTATACCAGCTGTCAAACAGTGACAGTAAGTGCGGTAAATACCGCTCTGCTATCACTGAAAGGGATCGGGCGTCTGTAAAAGCTTAACTCTTTCATTAATGGATGCCTCAGTACTGAGGCATCCATTAATGACTGGTAACCGTGGAGTCTCAGGGGTTACTGGCATTACAGATCCCCAAATAGCTGCTCACGTACAGTGTATGTAAGCAGTCATATGGACACCTAGTGGCAGGGACGTACAGTGTGCATATCCCATCACGAAGGGGTTAAAACAGTTTAGGTGTAATCCCAATAGCTAAGATCTCATAGTCGCATCAACACTTTAATGTAATTTTTAAAGTTGTCTTTGTTCTTTTAAAATATGCAACTTTTTTTCAAATATTGAGAGGTGGTTCTATCCTAAAGGTGCTTGGGGTTGTTATGGGGTGATCACGGTTTCTCAGTTGTGCTCCTGCGTTGGCACCCTGTCAAATTTGCCCCTAGTTGAGACTATAAGTAGTCATGCCGACTCACTTTGCGTAGGCATGATCAACTGTTGTTACTGTCAGCAAGCCTGTCCAGAACCATGATGTTCAACTGGAGCTGGAGGGGAGTACATGCATAAAGACAGAGACTGGAGGAGGTGAGCATAGCCCTCAAAAAAGGGTGAAAACTGTATTTTAAGAAAAACAAGCCATGGCAGTTATGATAAACAGTGATTTAGAAAACTAAATGTCATCTGTTTAGGGTTAGGTCTACTTTAAAGCTAAATACTAGGCAGAAACTATTTATATACATTTGCATAGTAATAATAAAATAACCACTGGTGACTTGTGCCCAACTGGCTAATGTAGTGATAGATACATTTCTAACTCTACACTCTTCTATCGATGTTGAGATTTCCAGTTTATGCTTTTACAGTGATCAAATTGGGTCACTTGCTGTAGCCGCTCCTCCTCCAGATAAAGCCTTGCATTCTCTTCACAGAAGGCAAGATGTGGTTGGAGATTATTGGGTTTGGTTGTAAAATAAAGATACATGTTTAAAACTATCTGCGCTGTAACGGCCGCCTGTTTATTACTTATGTTTTGTGCATTTGACATGTACCCCTGTTTTCCCCTCCTGTTTTTCTACCAGTTAGTAAAACCTTAGCTAGAAACTCCCAGCCTCTCCATGCAACTGAGATAGTTTTGTTTTTCACCTCTGCAGAGTCAAGCTTAGAAGGTCATGGAGGGGAATTTATTAAAACTGGAACAGACAAAATCTATCAGGGCTGCCAGGGGTTTAATTGCCAGGGCAAAGAGGACCGGGGACAGCTGACATCCCTGTCTAGTCCCCTGGGAAATTTGAAATGAAGGAGATATATCCTTGTTAACCCTGATCCTGGCCATTGGGAAATTGTATAGAAGCTTAATCCAGGGGATCATGTGAGGGCCAAATCCAAAGAGATGTAAAACCTTCAGCAAGTAATGCAATTTCGCACTGTTGAATGCCTTGCGAGTGTCAAGTGAAACAATCGCTCTTTTACACCCATTTCTGAATTAAAGGGAAGCCTCTGTACTAAGTGCTTGCCATTCATTTAGAACAGAGGCTGCAAAAAAAAATCAAAAAGGAAATGTCAGGGGTCTGTTTGTGGTGTATGCCATGCACTGCAGTGCGTTGTAAGTACGCATCACAGTGCTTGATAATTTTTTTCTTTTTAGAATAACATTAACCGTTATAATGCATTGCCGTGCGTTGTGATACGCTGTGTTGTGATTAAATGTACGCCTGTATCATTTTATCACAACACACACACCAACAAAGTGCGCAAACA